CTATTTTGGCCTGTTTTGGGAATATTTTTGAGAAAATATTATGGGATTGTTTTTGAGAATTCTCGAAAAAAATCTCAAAACCATCTGATATTAGTACCCTACCGGCCCACTACTCACTCTAGCGATGGAATCGCCCCCCAGCACACCACCTCGCAAAAGGGGCACCGAGTTATCGGTTGGTAGGCGCTATGCCATGGCGGTAGAAATTGCGATGGGCATTCAGCCGGGGTTGTCAACGATTCCCAAGGGCGTGCTTGACCCGATCTGCGAACGCTACGGTGTCGGAAAGAGTACCCGTCCAAGTGTCTTGATTTTAGTGTGTGACCCCCAAGTGTCTTGGTTTTAGTGTGGCTCACTACTATACTGCTTTTATTATAGGAGGCGCGACATGGATCGTTGAGTAGAGGGGGGGGTTGGATGAGGGCCCTACTGTTGCTTGCTTTGCCCCGCAAGTGTCTTGGTTTTAGTGTGGTCCCCCCAAGTGTCTTGTTTTCAGTGTGGGGGCCACTATTATGCTGCTTTTAGTATGGGGGACGCGTCATGGATCGTTGAGTAGAGGGGAGGCTAGGTTTAGGGTCAGGGATAATTCTTGGTATTTTTGCCTTGTTTTTGTCATTGCCCCGCCCCCCCCGCCTGGTCGCCTGGTCGGAGGGGGCAGAATACATGCAAAATACGGCCTTTTTCAGGCCGACTGGTTTTTTCTCGGGCGCTCATGCACGCGGGGTGGCGCATGCATAAAAATAAAAATAAATGTTTCTTGCTAAAAAAACTACGAAGATTTTAACAAAAAAAACGAAAAACAGATCTGACTCGGTTAAGGGCCCGTACAAATTTAGGTACCCTAACTTATGATACAGAGGAAGTAGTACATTAGTCTAACACCACTCACCTCCAAACAGGATACAAACGTGGCATAGTCTACCTTCCAACGAGAACACAAATACAGCGTCATACTTGCGCAGAAAAATTGAAGTGCCCAAAAAATTACATAAATATTGAATCACGCGATGATATGACAACGAACAAACAAGCGCATCGTACAACATTCTGTTAAATACGTAGACACAAGTCAAGATAACACCCCAACAACAACAATCGTACACCACCGTTCAAAACAACGCCATGCTGGTATGGAGAGGCAAACAGACACCAAATGAAAGAACCGATTGCGTCCACAACACCTGAAGCAACGCCAACGAGGCAAACGTCGCTGCAGCGGGAGGCAAGAAGCAGGTCGCCGATGCGCAAACGACCGCAACGCCTTGAGCACAACGCCCGTGGCGGCAAGCAGAAATCGGTGGTGTAGCTAAACCGCAACATCTACCTGCCATAGCAGTCTGCCTGCTTCATCACTACAACAGAACCGGTCGTGGCAATCTCGGGTTTGGTGCGCTACAAGGATCACGCTGCTGGTAGGGAGGGACTGGTGCTCTTTGTTCTAATGCAGCATCTGGCTTTCGTCGACGCTTGGTCTATGTGATTCGCAGGATAATTAAAAAATTAACAAATGGCATAGAACAACAGAACAGCAACCGGCACCAGCACCACACCTGTCCCGAGATCAAAACCCGCACAGCTAAACAGCATCACCCAGCATTCCTTTCAAGACCACCTGCGAGGCGACGGCAACACTAACTCACAAAAGAGCGTTGGCCATCGACACACCACTGCCATTGCCGGTTTCATTGTTGGGGGGCACCCAGTAGCACTCACAGCCTACTGCAGGACGATGTAAAAAATGGAAACACACACACCACACACACACACACGCTACCCACGCTGCTGGAAGCTCCCCCGCCCTCCTCCCACCGACACCACAGAAAAATAGGCAGCGACTTCCACACACACGCAACCCCCAAGAGCAAAGCTCCCAGCTCTTGCTGGCTCCTGGGTTCCCATGCTCAACAACCAACCGAAAGCACGACTGCATTGTTTTTCTTCGATTTCCCTCGGCCGTACGTTCTTCCGGTTTCCAGCTCTGACAAAGACGTCGCTCGCTAGCTCCAGTGTGCTCAGCCCACGCAAGGCCTCCGAAACTTCGACCTGAGCACTGGCCCTATCTCAGGCGAATGTCAAGCCAACAACATCGTAAAAAAGCCGACAACAACCCGTCAGGGGTGTGAAACCTCTGGTCGCTGTGCCCGTGCCCCCGCCGACTGTTTATCGAGAGGCAAGACAGCAGTAATGGCAGCCACGCCCAGTCTAATCGCCGCCAAGCTCAGTCATCGCTCATCGTCAAATCGAAAACCTCCACGTCTGCCGGGAGCGCTCGTGCAATGTCGGAGTTTCCCTTGTCACCTTGGTGCCTGCCGCCAAAACAGAACACGCGGAGTGCTGATATCAGAACCACACGGACGGATCAGTCTCGTGATGAGGTAGATTCGAGATCACGGAACAGAGTAGGATTGTTGCGCGCTGGTGGGACCGGGGAGGTTAGAAAATAGGACAAGACCTTGGTAGCAAATATTTGAAATTTATCGCGGATTCTGATCAAGGCGGCTTCGTGGGTGGTGGATCAGGCGTAGAAAACGGTGTGCTCCACCTGGGGTCGGTACTCATCTTGTGGGCCGCACCCTAAATTCGATATTGTCAGCGCTGACCTGGGACCGCGGACAATGGGTATCGTCGCTACGCGCTGGCTGTTTCGGCAAGGTTTGGGTGTGGCTTCCAAAGCCCTACGGAGGGCCAGCACAGCCTGGCAACACAAGGCAAACAGAAACAAATCTCGAACCCACACCGAGACCACGGTTCCCGTTCATTGTCCCCGACCCCATAACACAGCAAAACCACAGTTTGCCAGCTCCCGGACCCCACGACCGTAGAACAAGTCCATAGAAAGGCCACTGGACGCAAACACCGCACCTTTCACCCACTGCGCCATCAGAGTCGGAACAGGACAGGTCATCACGTCCTCCACGCTTCACCCTCGCGCCAGGAGACCCCCCTGCAGCAGCAGCAGCAGCAGCAGCAGCAGCAGCAGCACTAGAAGCACCATCACCACCACCACGAGCAGCAGCAGCGGAGGCGCGCAGCCCACGGCCTCCAGCGCCGTCAGCGCCCCCGCCTTGTTCCTTCGTTTTCTTGGGCATCTTTCCCCCCATCACGTGCCGACGGGGAGACGCCGTTTTCACCGCTGTCGTGGTGGCTGCCTTCGACGCCAGGGCCAACGTGGATTCTGACGCCATCGGGTTGAACGCCACACCCGCTGCTACCTCTGGCCCTACCTTGAGCGTTGCCGCTCTGTTGGGGGGAAGGATGCCCTCCGCACGTCCGCCAACGGAAATGTTCAACATGCAGATGTCTTCCTCCGGGTCACCGTCACGAATCACGTCTGAATCCTCCGTGTTCGGCGGCTCATCGATTTCCCTATCGCCATTCTTCGTGCTTCCACCTCCCGGCCCGCTGGCTTGCTTCTCTCCTCCTCCTGCTACTCCTCGGTTGTTTGGCAATAGGCTAACATCGTCCTTGGTATCGCTGCCACTGCCGTTTACACCACTACCGCCGTCTTGCTTCGTGATTATCTTGGCCTCGTCCGTGTTTGAGGGACGCTGCTTGTGGACGACGACCCGGTTAGCGCGCTCGCCGCTACCACCGCTACTGGTGTCATCGCTGTGCGTCTCCGGCGGCCGCTTGGTACCCGTCTCTTCGTCCCTGTTTCTCCCGCTGTGGCTGCCACCCTTGCCCCCGCCATGGCTGCCACCTTGAACGGTACCGACCTCACCGCCCTTGACGCTCTTGCCCTGCTTCCGAGTGGTCTCAGGGCCATCTGTGCATGAGGCAAATCCAGGTGTCATCGACGGCCTGCTGCTGCTGCCGCCGCCGCCAACGGTACCGGCCTCACCGCCCTTGCCCGTCTTGCACCGCTTCGTAGAAGTAATCTTGGTATTGTCCGAGCTTGGAGGAAGTCTGGGTGTCACCAGCGGCTTCCGGATGCTCCCGCTGACAACGCGCTCGCTGACACCGCCGCTAACGGCGTGATGGCCACCACCGTCAATGGTACCAGACCCACCGCCTTTGCCGGCCTTGTCCGGCTTCGGAGTAGTCTTGGTCTTGATTGCGTTTGAAGAAAATACAGGCGCCTCCGGTCGTCGCTTGGTACCGGTCTCTTGGTTCTTGCGCCTCGCGCTACCACTGCCACCTTTGTCCCCCTTGACACTCCCGCTGCCACCTTTGCTCCCGTTGACACTCCCGCTGTCACCTTTGCCCCCGTTGGTACTCCCACCGCCATTGCTTTCCCGCGGTTTCGTGTTTTTGGTCTGTTTCAATGGAGACCCAGAATCAGGGGTCTGCGATCGCTGGCTGCTGCCGTTCGCACTGCTGAACTCACAACCGTTCGCATCCTTCACCCCTCCCTCTGGACTGCCTCCGGCCCCCTTTCCATTGCCACTCTGTCCGCCTCCGCTTCCAACCCTAATAATCTCGCTCCTGCCGGGGTCCCGCGAATCTTCTTCCTTTTCCACCTTTTGGTCTGGATCAATTCCGAGATCAGAATGACTCGACTTCGCCGCAACCCGTTGACTCCTGGAACTGACAGAAGCTACGCGTCCGGGTGCAGATGAGACGGCAGAGTCGGAGAAAGCAACAGTAGGTGTGAACCCGCCGATGCTTGAAGCGGTGCTGACGTTGCCGTTGCCGTTGACGAGCGGTCCACCGCCACCGCCGTTGGCACGGCCCCCGCTCCTTCTCTCGGCCCCTCTGGCAGCACCGCCTAGGATGCTATCGTCATCACCCCGGCAGCCGTCGTTCTCCGTTGTAGAAGCGGACGCTCCTCTACCTCTCCCCTGCCGGACATCGACGCTGCCAACGCCGCCAACACCAGGGCTGCTGGCCGTGCGAACGATCGGGTTGCGCGTACGAGCGCGAGCAGAAGGGCTGCTTGTGCTAGTGGTAGGGCTTGCGCTTGATGCTCTAGGTCCATGCTTGGGAGGCGTGGACCTCACCCTCTTGCTCCTAACCTCTCTCTTCTCCTCAGGGTCTACATAATCTGCGTCCTTGGTTTCATCGTCGCCGATGCTTTCCTCATCTGACGTCAGACCTGTAGAGTCCAGGAAACGCCGAGCACCGCCGTCGACGTCCCCTGTCTCCCTATTCTCAGTCTTCTTGTTCTTCTCCTCCTGCTTCGTCTTCCTCTTTTTCATCTGTGTATCCTTCGTTTCCGACGATGAAGATGAGGCGGCCTTGCTAGCCCCGCTGCCCCCGCTCCCACTCGGTCGACTGCCGCCCCCCCCCGTACACGTGCCCTCCACCCCCTCCATTTCCGCGCCGCCGGAACCGTCGGCTGCAAGTGCCGGTGGCAAGGAAGCAGCACCGCTTCGCCGGCAACCTCCCGCCGGCAACCGCCCCCGATTCTTTGCACCACCACCGCTCCCCTTGCCAGCATCGCTGCCGCCGCCCTCGCCGCCACCTCTGGCACCATGGCCGCTCCGCCCTCCGGATCCCTTGCTCTTTGCCCGGGGCCGCCTAGTGCGAGCTATCGCGTCCGCAGCAGCCTTCTCCTCGGCCTCGGCTTCGTCTAGACGCTGCAGCTCGCGCGCCAGGTCTTCATCTTTCTTCGCTTGCTGGGCAAATTCTTCAGCCTGAGCCCGGTCAGCCTCCTCAAGCTCACGGGCAATCCTCTCATCATCGCACGGGGCCTGCTTCGGCCGCACGGGCAGGTTGGCAAGACAAGGCGTGTAAGGAGGGCCAGGCGTTTGCCAGGCACAAAGACGTTCGAAAGAAAGCACTCAGATGCGTCGGTTTCGTCCCGTGTACCACACCCAGCACCTGCATCTTCTGCGGTGCAGCCGATATTGCTGGCTGGAACAGCATATTTCGTCAGCAGCTGCCCGTGTCATACAAACAGTTTCAGGGCGAACGCACAACCCCCCAACGTAAAAATGTAGGCCCTGCTGTCTGAAACTGTTGACTTACAAGGATGACGATTCCTGCGAGATGGGGAAGATGAAGGAAACACCTCTACGTTGAAAACCTGGAGTGCAGCATGGAGCTGAACTTCGAGGTACAATATATGGGCGTTGGTCTTGCAAGACCGTTGCCCCTGTTGCAAGAACGTACAACGAGCCCTGAAACAGATTCCTGCGACATTTTCTGAAGCAGGGTCGAAGATGCTGCTGATCCGAAAAAAAAAAACGAACAATCTTTCGTCACGGTTACGAAGTGCAACTTTCCACAGGGGTAGAGATCGGCTTTAGAGTAGAAACAATATCCTAAAGACCTCCAGCAAAGTCCAACGGACTTCCAACAGGCGACTTCGCTACATACGTTAAACCACCTCTGGCTTGAGCATTGTTCGTGCACGGCTTCTTTGGCAGCAAATACCCAGCTCGCGCCAAAACAAAGGAGACCACCTATCCATCATCTGACTATCCCTTACGGAAATGTATTGCAATCTATACCCAAGGCTGCGGGGTCATTCGTCCACACAGGTAGCTTTGGCATATGAAGAGGTCTGGTCGCGAAGCCATTGTTTACATCGCGGTGGAAACTGCATGTTTCACTGCAATTACCGTGACTCTAGGTATTTTCAATGCACTGTACTTTCGGCAGGTGTTCTTGAGCACCATCTATTGTATTCGACACAGCTTCGTGGTTGAAGCGATCGGGCCTACCAGCCGTTTCCACCCCATACTGCTTTCTTTCATCTGACTATCTACGCTAGGATTTGTTATACATTCGTGAGTGGAGAGACTGTGGGCCAAACAATGTAGTTTGTTTTCATGTTTTTGCAAGCCATTGTGCCCACAGTATTTCTTTCCTCCCAGAGTACGGAAGGGGAGGTTTCGGATGCATTTTCTAGGGGTCGAACCCGATTCCGAAATGCGAAGGCAGCAGCAGCAGCAGCAGCAGCAAAACAACAACCAAGCACACCATCTCGACGACAACAGATTACGTCGGGGCGACCCACTACATGTAGGACACATGCTTCATACTGAAACGCTGCTGCCGCTTGAAACACTCGTATACTAGTAGGAACGTGCGTGAGCTAAATAGCCGTTTCCGGCATTTACACCCTGTCTGTGTCAGTATTCAATGACTCGTTCCAATTAGTGAGTTCATCGCCTGCACAACGTAACTATTATAGGGCTGCACGACACTGCTGTTTACGTCGCTTCCGGGGTGGGTCCGACATAAGGGTGCGTACCGCACGAAAGTGAAAGCACTGTTATAGCCCCGTCGCCCAGACCCTGAGACTTGGCAGGCGACTACGATCAGTACCTGCAACCCGAACGGGGCGGAGGAGGTGGCTTCGGTCATGTGCTCTCGCTAGGTACCCGGGGTGTCATAAGTCCCATGTGAATCTCGACCCATTTCACGCAGTACCTTGCTAGACAACCAGATGAGCACCCTCAACAAGGTTTCGTGCTGACTAAGATACAGAGCCAAATATTGGAATATTAAGACCTAACGAACACATTTCAGGTGGTTGATGAACAATTCGCTGCATTCGACAAGAAGCCACACAATTAAAATCGCGCCATTTGTACAGCAGCGACATGTGGGCAAGCACTCCAAACCCTGCTGTCTCCCACCGAGAGAATCTTGCCGGGGAGCCAAGTAGCCACCGCACATGCACGTCCAACTCAGCTACTCACCAGCAGTGCCGCCTGCTGGGCGATCTGCTCCTTTGTGAAAGCGGACAACAAAGGGCCAGCCGCTGACGCTCCTCCTCCCCCTTCATCCTGGGCTCCTCCGCTGACTCGTGCCTCCTCGTTGTTTGTTTTCGCCTCCATTGCGAGAACATCCAAGACACACGCGAGGCTTTTGCGCTCTTCCTCGGCACGCTCCTTCTCCCGAATTTGTGCGAACTGTTTTTTTGCACCGACGTACCACTGAGAGAGAAACATCAACGGCGGGGGGCGGCAGGAACGGGGACTTCTCATTTTTGTGCAGGACCGTCTCAGAAATGTGCCCGTCATGGCCTGAGCGCCATATCCTGTAGAACTACCTGAGCTGCCTCGGGAAATCGTAATACCAACCTCAACTATAGCCTTAGCAAGGAAACCGATAGTGCACGCGATATTTCGACAACAGAACAATCATCCTGCTTTCGAGCGATACAGTATCGTGGGGGGACGCGGTTACCGACATCGCGAAAGTCCAAGGGTCGTTGCAAGCACCGGCAGCACCAGCAGCGAGGGGATGCTGAGAACCGCCGTTGTCTTAGCTCACGTCTCACTTCCCTTCGTTAACAATACATCAATACATTGCGAAGAAGGCACAAACAGAAGTGAAAGTGAAAGCTTACCCCTTCAAAGCTATCGCTGATGATGCGTGCTTCCGCAATGTCCTCTTCCACATCGGCCTCGTTGGAGATCACCTGTGTCGGCGATCAAAATGGGTTTATGAATACACAACAAAAGAAGCAGCGTGTGTTGATAGCACACGGGGTGGGTTGGCGGCGGGTAAGCAAGCCAAGTGCTTCGATGGATGGATAAGCAGCGCAGGCAGTGGCAGCGGTTCGTGTGAGATAGGCGTTATCTCCGGGAAAAAAATAAATATTGGACGGGGTGTTTGTAGAAGACAACAAACGGGATGGGCGCTTGATATTCATGGTGTCCACGTAATTGCGAAGCTCGCTTTACATTCGAAATGGGAAGACCGAACGAGACTCAATATGTGCTTCAGTGTTGTTCACCCTTCAAGCACTCAACAAGCCTGGCGTCCATTCTCTCACCAACCCACACACCGCTCACGCGTGGTGAAATCTGAAAACTTGACCTGTGTCGAACATGATGTAGTTTCACTATGCTCGCTGTGTAGAAGGCTAAGGGTTCCCCCGAGAAAAGCTGTAACAACTCAACCCCAAAAACGAAAAATCCAAGGCCAAGTAGCTGATCTGGGCGGTCGATGTCCCCGCTGCTCGGTTCGGGGAGCGCAGAAGCGAGGGCACTCGTAGAGGATCACCCTACGTGGCGGTGGGAGGAGTCGCATGAGCGACATCGAGCGCTTGTCAACCATCTTGTGGGTTCTTTTCGTAGTCCACTATTTGGCAACTTGACGGTGGTCAATTTACCCAAGCTCGAGTCGGTCGGAAAAGCACGTATGTACAACCTGGTGAAAACAGTGGCACATACACACCGTTTTCTCTGCACCAACTGCACGGACTTACACCATATGGAAGGCGCCGGGCCGACATCACACAGGATGGGGTCGCTAAGAAGATGCTCTGTCCAAGTTACCCCAACTGAATCAATTTGGCCGTACGGGGGCACAAGTATTGGGTTTTCCTGTGATTGTGTATGATACGCGTGATACAGACCCTGGCGTGTTTCACCATCTTTTAACAAGAGTACATGCTAATAATGATTTTGTGGGGGGGTCGAAAGTACTTCTGTCAATAGATATCGCCGACTGCAGACCGCTCGAGACGCACAGCTGTCGTCATCGATTGCGGGCATTGCTTCACAGACCCGGCAAATAGTCCACACCAACAGCAACGACAGTTGAGGAGAGCGGGTACGTGACCGCTGTTTCAAAAATTTTGCACTTCGGCGCTCCAGGCAACACGACACACTCTGCGTCGAGAACGTTCTCCGCTCACCGTGTTGCTGAGGTATCTGTTATCCTTGCGGCGGGTCTGGGTCTTCCTCGCGCATGCGAAGCACCTTGAATGGAACGCCTTCCACTCTTCGAAGCACTGCTCGCTAATGACACAAACGAGGCAAGACGACAGAGAAACACAGAGTCAGCAACAGTGGACACGAAAAAAAAAGTAAAGCAGTTGGGTGTCAATAAGCTGCTACATGTACATCGGACAGACCGAAGGGCAGGCAGAGAAACTTCGACATGACGCCCAACGAGATAGGGAAGCGAGAGAAGTGTTGCGTCGGGTCCGGATCACAACGCCGCCTCTTTGTTTGACACGCCGAGTATGCAATACGCATCTAGGCGTTTGAACACCGAGCACCAACTGTTTGTCAATCCGTGGCTCAGTTTGTGACGTCAGCCATTTGGGTGTTATACTTCGATCTTCGGTGAGGTGGACAAACCCGTTGCTGTTCTTTCGGAACGTCACACAAGAAGGCAACTGGTTGCAACTACTGTTAACTAGTAAGCGGGACTGAAGCTCCTAGCTAGCTGCGAGCGCCACTGCAAATGTACGCGCGAGGCAACCAGAGACAAGCTCAGAACCGCTGCGGCCATCCGCAGTGGAGCGTACAGCAGTTGGGTTTGATGGTAGACCTTTCGCACCATGCAATGCAAAGTAATCCTTCTGATTGCCCGTGCAATGATCAGCAGGCCGTCGTGAGCGGCATGTATCGTGCCCGCAGAAATAGTCAACAAACTCTCAGTTCTTGCGTCCTCGCACCGACCTAAACAACACACCGCAGTATTTTTGCCTTTGAAGCGCTCGCTTCGGCGGTCACGCGAGGCGCCAAAAAACACAAAAAGAATCACCTCTTGCGAAATACTTCTTGATCTTCCACACGACGGACAGGGTGAGCTTTTTCCCGTCCTTCATTCAACGATCGTTCTACGCATTTAGTATGTTGCCTTCAACAGATCAGATGTCGTGCACATGACACCACCGCCAGGTGGCCATCATCATTCAACGATGGCACTATTTACCAATGCAAGCTTGTGGGAGTAGACTTGGGCAACCGTGAACAAGAAACGAAGCCCCTGGAACGTGGTGCGTGTTTTTTCTGTACAATATTGAGCCTTGTCTTCCAATCGCTCGATTGTTTCGGAGGTGGCACGAGGCGCCCAACACCTTTGTTCACAGCATTGCTACCTCGTGACAACATGCTGTGGGCCCAAGAATCGCCACTCTCTGAAAGTATACAAGACATCCCTTCGCAGTGGGGTAAAGAGAGCACCGTCTCTGAAAGTAACGTCCCTGTCTATTTAAGAGAGCGTCCCCCGAAACCGACCAAACGGTTTGAGCGCCCATGTACAGTACGTTCGGATCAATCTCATAGGTATCCGAGGTTGGATTGGACATGGGCGGGCGCGTGGAGACCAGTCAGTGCACATGTTTTCGACAGCAGTGTCGTACTCCTCTATGCGTATGCAGATGCATGTACGTACTGCTGTAGACTGGTACCGCTGTATGCACATCGCCTGCACCGCGGTTCATGCGAAAACACTGTTAAGAACGTCAAAAGTACACGGCAGTTTCATGTTCTTCAAATCACCAAAACAACCACCATGAAAGCACACCCACGAAGACGAGCCCCGCGAAGTCAACCAACATAGCGACCAGCGAGATACATACAAAAAACGAATCTTAACGCCTAGACAACTATTGCCCATGTTATGTAAGCCTACTGCTGCTGAAGGAGACCCGCCAACGCGCAACACACACACGGAACGGATCCTGCACTCACTGTGCGATCAGGTGGCAGCAGTCCGTCTGGAACAACCGCCTCGAAAGCCCGTCGTCCTCTTCCAGGCAGATCAAGCACTTGTTCAACTTCTTCCGCATCTTCTTCTGCCTCTCAACCGCAGGCTGACGCTCTTCGTCTGGTGCCCTTTTCGTCACCTCCGAGGCATTCTCCCTGTTGGATCCTGACTCCGGCGCCCCGGCGCCCGCCTCATGCCACTCTTTCTGACGCCCATCTCCATCCGGCGAACCCTCCCTACTGCCGCAACCTTCACCCTCTTTTCCGGTCGCATCTCCTGCACCATCGCCCTGTTTTCCTTTCTCTTCGCCGAGGTGGCTGGGCTCTGCAATAGGTGCTGCTGCAGGCCCGACAGCAGTGGGGCCTTGTTCTCCCGGTAGCGAACCGGCTCCGGCTCCACCTCCCTCCCCCTGGTCATGTTCAAACCGTGAGACCTCCTCCTCTTCCTCCTCAATTTGAATGGTACCATCCTGAGGGTTCACGTTTACCCTCCCTTTGCCCTTTCCGCTCATGGTAGATCAGGGTAGAGCACTTTCGTGAGCTCTCCTATCTTATCGTCTGGATCACCCTCACACGCACTGCATGCACACAACGACCTCATAGGTGCACGTGTGTTGCTGCACAGCAGAGCTTGGAGGTTGTTGCAGGGGGAGCCGCAAAGGGAGAATCGGGATGTACAGGGGGGGGCAGGGGCACGGGGCGCCGCCGACATTCATGTTCATTGATGTTTGTTATAGGCTCAAGAATTCTGGCATTATTTTTCTAATCTTCTACGAGAAAAAATG